ACCAGCCTGAGCAAGAGCGAGACCCCCGTCTCTACCAAAAAATGGAAAGAAATTAATTGGACAGCTAAAAATATATGTAGAAAAAAACTAGCCAGGCATGGTGGCATGTGCCTGTGGTCCCAGCTACTCGGGAGGCTGAGACAGTAGGATTGCTTGAGTCCAGGAGTTTGAGGTTGCTGTGAGCTAGGCTGACTCCACGGCACTTGCCCCAGGCAAGAGAGTGAGACTCTGTCTCAAAAAAAAAAAAAAAAAAAAAATCAATCCTCAGTCTTCAGCTCTAATAATACACATTCTCTCTTTAACCGACCTCTTTCCGTCAACACTGCAGCAACAGAAATCTGCCCTTAGAACGAACACAGCAGAAACGTCCAGGTGCTGGGTTTGCTCACAGCAACGCAGGTGGGAGGGAAGGCGACCCCAGGACCCTTGGCAGCATCCTGGTCTGCCTTCGTGCAGATTCCTCTGGAGACAGAACCGACCAGCACGGGGAGGGGAGCTGGGAGTCGGCTCCAAGGCATTCTTTGCGAAGGGCGAAGGGAAAGAGGGACGAGATGAACCACAGCACTTTCTCGAGCCCCTTCTAACGCTCAATGCCGCCGTCCACTGAGCCACTCTCCTGGGCCAGGACGACAGGCGGCTGGAAAAGCCCACGCTTCCAGAGGATTTGTTGTCAGAAGCAGAGAAGAAACTACTGCCCCCCCGTTCTTCCTCTTCTCCCCAACCCCTCAGCTTTCTCGGGAGACACACTGTCGAGCGTCCGCTGGCCTCATGCTTACTGTTCACGACACGTTAGCATCGAATGTTCATTGACTGCAAAAATACTAGCTCCGTTTCTACCAAATAAAAGACACACACATGACCCACCACGGTTCCCGCCCTCTGAGGGCTTGCGCAGCGCCAAGCCGGGGAACGTGGCGTGGTCACGGGTAACTGGAACGCCAGGCAGACCCGTGTTCCACGTCTGAACGTGCGACGGGAAATCAGGGAGGACGGGGGAAGGATCAGAGAGGGCTCTGCGGAGGGGACGGCTTCTGAGCCGCATCTCCAGGTAAGAAAACAGGCTTTGCAGGCAGACGTGAGATCGTGAGCGCAGCTCGGGCGCGGCAAAGCACGAGCGTGTCGAATGAACGACAAGCGCAGCGGGGCAGGAGGAGGGTGTGCCTGAGGAGGACAGTACCAGACAGAGCTGGAACGGCAGGCGAATACTCTGTTCATACCTGACCCTTTACGCGGCAGAAAGAGCACTGGGCCGGGAGTCAGAAGACCCGGGTTCTGGGTTTACCACTGTCTGGCTGTGAGACCGTGAACGGATCACTCTCTGCAAGCTGTCACTGTCCTCGTCTGCAAAGTTCCCAGCTCTTACTGGTCCCAGCGCTACCCAGAAGAGTTGAAAGATCCGGTCTTTTCCACGGACCCCAGCGACAAGCAGGAAGAGCGAGCGGGTTTCATGACTCACACTCCTCTGATGGGAACAATCAAGACCTGGTCCGAAGGGTCCGGCTGCCTCACCTGCAATCCTCCCCGTCGCCGAGGGCTTCCTCCTTCACGACCTCGAGGGTCTCCTTGGCCACTTTCTTTCGTGCGGGACCACCTGCTGCGCCCCCGGGATGGCCGCAGCTTCTCTTCCTCCTTCCCCGTGAGGCTCTGGAGGGAAGGCTCTTCTTCGGGAGCTTCTCGTCTTCAGAGACATCTAGGGGACCACGCGGAACAGGCGCTGAGGGGCGTCGAGACAGGCGGGGGCGTGAGAAGGCTCCGGGACCTCTCCCGGACCCGTCCCCTCCGCCCCACGTTTGGTGGGCAGCCAGCTCTCAGCCCGCCCCTCCGCGGCCAGTCTGCTGCGTTCCCAGGGAAACCATCCTCCCTCCCCACCGTCCTACCTGTCCCAAGATGACAGAGAGCGCCCGTGACTCAAGTAAAATCTAACTTCCAAATCTCAAATTTCAGCTGATCTCCAGCAAGGGAAACACACGAATGCATTCATTAGCACCTGCTTATTTACCACCTGCCGAGACTAACGATTCGTTCTAGGGACAACCTCCTCCTCTTGAGTAAAACGTTTCGAGTTTATAAACATGTCTGAGTTTTACCACAAACTTATTTCTACTAATCCTTGTTTCTGCCGTCTTTCAAGACCAACCTGTGCTCAAAACTACTGCTACAAACCTTTCCAAACTAACCCAGATGGTGCTCACGTACCCACCACGCCAGCAAACCTAGGGTTGAAATAGGATAGTAGTAATTGAAAAGTATCTTTATTTTCTTAAAATAATTGTTTTTGTTAAAGGGAAATACAAAAAAGCATAAGCTGTTAGTTTTAGTTTGATTAGGGTGTCCAAAAGCGTGGCGTG